TGTAGACGTTAAAATCATAATTGCAAAAATAATTATACACATCTAATCACAGGAAGTTCTGTGAAGAGAAATAGTACCATGAAAGTAGGAAAAAACATGCCTAGCATAGAGAGGTAAGGGAAATTCCTTGAGAGATCAGAAGAGTGAATAGGAGTCCCTCTTGCCAAGGCGAGGGAAGGACCAGAACGGTAGGGCAAATGTTCCTGACAGAAGCTGTTATATGGAGGCTCCTGTGGGAAGAAGGTTGGCACTTTTGATGGAGTAGAAGAAGGCAAGTATATTAATTAGGGTAGGTTATTCTGCAGGTGTCAGAAAACCCAAAAGTACATTGACTTGAGGAAGAAAAAAGTTTACATGTGTTTCCTATTAAAAAAAAAAAAGCAGTTCGGAGCTGATCCAGTGGCTCCATGTTCATCAGGTACTCAGGCAACTTAGTACTGTTTTGTCCTCCTCAGCATGTTGCTGCTTATGGCCCAAAATGGCGGCTCTAGCACTACCCATCGCATCTATATTCCAGCTACCAGGAAGAAGGAAATGGCAGAAGAACACATCTCCTTCCCTTCATAAGAAAATTTGCTGGAAATCGTATATATCACATTAGCCAGAATTTGGTCACATGACCATACCTAGCTGCAAGTGGGATGGGGCAATATAGCTTTCATTCTCAGTGGCTGTGTGCCTGGCTAACATTTGGAGAGAGAAGCAGAACAATTGATATAGGGAGACAACTAGCAGGTCTGTGCCTCATTTAAATGGCTAAAAAAACAGTGCGAAAGTGCTGAGGTAATGGGAGATGGGGCCACAGTAGGAAGCCGGGCCAGATCTTAAAGGGCCTTGTAAGTCATGGTGAGTTTTCTGGGCTTCATCTGTAGAGCAGTGGGGAGATCAGTACAACTTTTTAAGCAAAGAGAAGCTTGTTCAGATTTGTGTTTTTCAAAAGATCAATTTGGCTGCTCTGTAGAAGACATTTTGGTGGAGCTAAGCATGAGGGGATTTTTGCAGTAGTCAGGGTAAGAGAGGTGAGGGTTCCAGTGGAGGTGGAGAGAAGGGGGCAGAGTTGAGAGGCTAGAGGGAGAATCCGTCAGATAAGGGGAGGGAAGGGGTGATGCTGGGACAGCTTCCACATTTCTGCCAGGTGTATGTAGGTGGAGGCGGGTGCCATTTACTGAGGGGGAGGAATGAAGTAGGAACGACAGGTTCGAGGCATGAAGATCCTGAGCTCTGCATGTTGAGGTTGGGTGTCCATGAGACAAACGAACGGAGATGTTGAAGAAGCTCTTGAATATTTGGGCCTGGTGCTTAGAAAAAGTAGTCTGAGATGGACCTGTAAATTTGTGAGTTTCTACAAAGAGATTGGAATTGAACCTATGGAAGTGCTTGAGAAAATTTGTGGAGAAAGGATAGAGCACTCCAGGAAGGCCTGCGGCGCATTTTACCTGGAAGGCGTAGGTGGAGCAGCTAGCAGCAGAATAGTGTCTGTGAAAGATACATAAAGGAAAATTTCATAAAATTACATTGCCCCTTTCTTACATTGGTAAAAGGATATTTCTTTTTCTCCCAGGGAAACCGCTCTCCCCTCAGTCCTACACAGCATCTGTTCTCTTAGGGGGCGCCTAATCTACATCATATGTGTAGTTAATATATCCTTAGCTGGCCATTTGCACATGAAATTCTTTTTATTCTCTAAGTTTTAATCTTTTTCACTTGTACTGCACTCTTTACACACTTATCCAGTTATGTCTTCAAGATGAATTACTAGAGGGAAGTTGCCAGGTCAAAGGATATATACTTTTCTTCTTTTTTGTCTTTTGATACCATTGAAAAGTTACACCAATTTGCTCTCATTGGCAGTGTGAGTGTGGTACATTTCTTGAGGAAGGTTTCTTAAGGCATCTCTGACCTCAGTTTTCTATACGCACTGCCCTTCTCCCACAGCATTTTTTTAAATAAAAAATTTTAACATACAGAGATGTTGAAACCATTGTACAGTGAACATCTAGATTTTACAATTAACGTTTTGCAATAGTTGCTTTATCAAATATCTCTCCATCAGTCCATCTTATTTCTTTGTATGCATTTCAGTGTAGGTTACAAAACCGTAAGTCTCACCCCTAAATCTACGTCTGCTTTTTGATTCTCACAGCAAGTGCGGACACAGTAGCCCAGGCCATGAGTGTTGACCCTGCACTTGAGGATCCTGCCTATGAAGGGGGCCCAGAGGCAGGCCAGGTGGGGACCTGCAGCCTCGAGGCCACGGGGGGGGCCTCCAGATCGCCGGGTGTGGCCCCTCGACTGAATCCAAATTTCACAGAACAAATCCCTTTATTAAAAGGGTTTGTTCTGTAAAAATTAGATTCAGTCAAAGGCCACACTCAAGGATCCAGAAGGTCACGGGTGACCCCAAGGCTGCAGGTCCCCCCCTGCCCCCCGCTTGGACTGACTGGCATAACCCATGGCGGGAGCTACAGCCCTTAAAGAGGGGTTCTGCCCTGTCTCGGACTCTGGCAGGACAGAGAACACAGACGCTAAGGCAAGGAGTGCTGGTCCTGAGCACCGAGGGCTTCCCGCCCTGGTTCCCTCCCTCTGTGGGGAGTACCTTATCCTCTGATTAGTTTCCCTTGAGTTTTTGCTCCTGCTCCAGTGTGGGGATGAGCAGTGTGGTGATTTCAGGAAGATCCCGAAGGGCGATGGCACCGTGAGGAGGAGAGCAAATCAAGCCGATTGCAGGCCTTTTTGCAGATGTGTTTTGGGTCGAACTGCAGCCCAGTCAGAGCTTTGCACACATACCAAAGTAGAACTGAAAAGCATTTTACTTGTGCTTAGTTTGTGATAATTGCAAATTCATGGCAGAAGGCTGCGAAACCAATTCAGAAGGGTTTCTCAGTGTGTGTCCCCAGAGTTGAGTAGGAGTAGGAGACTTTCTTGGAGCTCTGGGGTGTGAAACGCACCAGACAAACCACCGTGGCTGGGAGGGCAGAAGGAGGGCAGCAGGGCAGCACCTGCCCACATTGTCGCCCTGTGCCCCGTTGGGGGCTCCAGGGAACGTGTGTTCAGGACCTCTTGTTGCTGCTGCCGGGACATCTTCTTTCACCACCTCGTGCTTTCTCAGAAAGCAGCTGGGCACAGTCCAGCAATACAGTCCAGAGAGTGGCAGTGATTATTTGAGAAGGCACATGCTTCATTACAGACCAGATAGCTATTATCAGCCTAGATAATTTCTGTGAGTCCTGAAATAGACTTGGCCCACCAGGCAGGGCGAGGGTGTCTGCTTTTTGTGTAGCAGTGAGGTGCAGGACTGGCTGGTTCTGAACTACCCTTGCGTATAGATCTGGGCTGCAACCCTGGAGAGTACCTTTCTTATTTAGAAGTCAGGAAGGACTAATTAGAGCACATTCAGGCCTTTTATCTAGGTTCCGTCTCGAAGGTTGTAACTTAGTGGATGCTGTGTGTTTAGCCTAGTCTCCTGAGTTATCAAATGGGGACAATAGCAGCAAGCTCACAGAAATGTGTGAGGAGTACAGATCCAGTTCCTCCGCTCCCCTGGATATCTCTCTCCATCAACCCAGCCAGTGTGAAACGAGGCTGAAATATAGAGGGGCGGTACCTCACATCCCTGCGGCAACCTATTTCCTCTATTCCTTGCAGTCAAATCCGAGTCCCAGGAAGGATGCCCTGCTCACCAATCAGAGAGGAGCCAATTTTTTTTTTAAGTGCAATGATTTACTTGTTCATTGAACATATGTTTTTTGAGCATCTCATATATGCCAGGCACTGTAGCTGGGTGCTGAGGATACAGAGATGAGTAACCCACGGCCCTCAGAGAGGTCACATTTGCCTGACAAAGGCAGATGTGTATAGTGGTGGATATCATGTTGTAAACGCAGCAGTGGAGACAGGCAGAGAAATTATGGGAGGACAGAGAGAGAGTGCCTCCCGCAGCTCGGGATGTTTAGAGTGGAAGGGAAATTTGGGTAAAGGAAATAGGCTTGAATAAAGACATGAAGTTGAGAAACGTTATGGTATGTCTGGAGACCTGTAAGCAAGTTAGTGTTGCTGGAGTGGGGAGGGTTGAGAGATAGGAAGGGGCTAGATTAAGAAAGGCCTGTGTGCCATATTAAGGAGGCCAGCAGTTCTCAAGGGACAGGAAATGCCTGCAGAGGTGGGAGGGGCAGGTATTTGCCTTTGGAACAACCATACAGTTAAGCACCTCTGGGTTAGAGCAGGCTCGTCCTGTATGGAAGGTGGCTTGGAGAGCTGGAGACCTGAAACTCCTTTCAGGAAGATTTATAATCGTCTAGGGACAGTAAGGAAGTAGAGATGGAGAGGAATGGCTGGATTTAGAATTTGAGCCTTGGTTGATTAGAGGGGGAGCTAGGAAGCAGGAACCAAATATGACCAGATTCTACTTTTTTATGTGAGGTTCTCCTCATATCCTACCTCTTAGGAGGATTTTTCTGACCTCTGGCTCAAACTTTGCTGTACAGCTCTGGCCCTGATTGCCTCTGTTCATTACATCTTGCTTTGTATTGTTCTTAAGTTTATTTTGCTTTCCTTGATAAAGGGAAGCTCTTAAAAGGTAGGAACTATATCTTACACTTTTGGGGGTTGCAATTTTAGGTATTTAATATTATTTATGCATGGTATTATTGGGACTTTAAGCAGTTTGTTCCATTTATCTCTGATTTTCTCCCAAGAGAGGAAGGAGGAATTAAGCACAAACATCAGATGGAAGGTGTCCTCTATCTGGAGGCATACATTCATGACTTGTGAGTCCAAAAGGGAAGTAAGAAAATCAAATACGTATCAAAATCATCCAAAAGAAATTTAGGAGATTGGGATTTTTAGAATAGTCTAACTTTTTTGGCACGTAGTTCTGGAAACAGCTTACCTGGAAAGGCATCTCTGATGGCTTGGCAGTGGCTTGATCATTCAGAATGCCCCCTTTGAGGCAGAATTAATCACTGTTTCTGAATGGTTCATGTTTGCAATTCCCTTGGCAGGTCGAGAGCCTGGCGCCCAGTGTGAACTGTCACCTGTCAATGCCTCCCATCCTGTCCAGGCCCTGATGGAGAGCTTCACCGTCCTGTCGGGCTGCGCGAGCAGAGGCACGACTGGGCTGCCGCAGGAGGTTCACGTCCTGAACCTCCGCACCGCGGACCAGGGGCCCGGCCAGCCGCACAGAGAGGTAGGTGCAGGTGGTGGCTTGCAACTCACTGCTCCTCCGAGCCTGCAAAGATGATTTTCTGAGCAGGGATGATTTTCTGGGGTTCCACAAGGATGCTCATGTATGAATACGAGAGAGTGGGATTGAAAATAACGGACTGGTCCCCGAGCAGCGTCAGGGCTTCTCTCTCCGGAGATTGCTTGGCTCTCCCCTTTTCTGGCCCTCCAGATTGGGAAGAGTGTTGATAAGAATTTCACCTTTTCAGCATGATTGTGAGACAACAAAATAAGGTGCCATTCCTCTGTAATTGCGACATGCCTTTCCCATTTCCTCCTGTCCCTCTTTCTTCTTCGCTTTGTCTTATTGCTCCTGCAGGAGGAGTCAGGGGAAAGGGGACCCTCCGGGATAAGGAGGGCAGTGCTTTGAACTTGCCTGAAAAGCCCTAAGGGCAGCGCCTTGTCGCCATCCCGGCAGCTTCTCAAAGATGATGGTAGTCTTGATGGGGATGGCGATGATGATGACGAGACAAGCTCACAGTTCCTAAGTGCTCTGTGCTCAGCACCATTTGAAGCACTCAGACACTAATTCCAGGTGCAGAGAGAACTCATTTGCTGAATGTCATCACCTGCAGAGAGAAACGGCCTAGATTGTGGGTGAATGGTCATCATTTAAGAGAGTAGATTTCCCCACAAGATAACACACAGTTACCATTCTTTCTGTTTTTAAGCTTCTGTGTGTCAGAAATGTTATCACTAAGGTATTGTCTCTCTAGGGAGAGAGAAACCACAATAAAGCCTGACCACAGTGAAGTATAGAAAAACTAATGCAGAATGGAATTTATCTTTGAGCTTTCTTCTGGTCCAGAAAGTTAATTTACAGAATCACTTCTTTGTGTGCCTCACCCACCTCATCTTTTTGGGGTAGTAGGACTAGGAGAGGCACGAGGCATGCAGAAGGAAAAGCAAACTGAGTTTAATCTTGTGAAAGTGTGCAGAGTTGGCTCATTTCAAAGACGGATCATCTAACCTTTCCAGCTACATTGGAAATTATTGTTAATACTCTTGGTTGCTTGCCATTGTTGCTGCAACTCATATTTCAGGTCAGATTTCTTTATCCAGTAATGCGTCTTTAATTCTTAACTTATGGGGGAGAGTTTGTGGTGGGAGGGAGAGGAGGAGAGGAGGAAATGCAGTTCCTATGAAGCGTTGCTGACTCCAGCAATTCTTTAGCAGCAATAATTACTCATTTTATATATGCTTCTCTCAGAGGAACTGAGAAGGAAAAGAAAGTCCAAGCTATTACAGAAGCAGCAACAGCAGAAAATTCTTGATGTTAAATTGTGCGGTACTGTTGTTGACTCTGAAAATAGATTCAAATAAGACTACTGAAGCAGAAGAAAAATAGCTCAAGGAGTGACAGCAGAACTCCCCACATTTGTGTTCACTATGTTAGTTCAAAATGGAGCTCATTTAGGACACGGCAGCACTGAGGACACATAAAATTAGCTGGCATCAGGGATATAGCATGTGTAGTGAGGAAGAAAAGAAAGAGTGCCTTCAGAGGATAGTTTCAAACTTTAAAAACCTGAAGATTATTCTTCTCGAATATTTGTATAATATATGTATCATCTTGGGCTAGTGATTTGAAGACATTTCTGAGAATAGGCAACTGAAGGAAATTGCACTATTTCCTTCTTTGGGGACCTTTAAGAATTAGGTGGTTGTAGTTCAACCCTGTTTGAAAACAGGATGTTGGGATATCTGATCTTTGGAGATTCCATCTGGCTCTGGGTCGGTGTCACACAGCAGACCTAGGGGTATTTTACATGTACAGAGTGAGTGTAGAGGGAGATGTCAGACCACAAGGGCAAGGGTAAAGAGAGTTTATTTATGGATGTTAAGATGTGGGGGAAGAAGTATTAATATCGCTCACTCTCTTCATAGATGTCTGTGCAGATACATTGCTGAAGCTGTGCAAACTGTTTTTAAAAACCACTTGAACCATACGACACAGCAATTCCACTTCTAGGTATATACCTAAGGCAAACAGAAGCATATGTCCACACAAAAACTGAACGTTCATGGCAGAGTTTTTCATAATAGTCAAAAAGTAGAAATAAATATTGGTCTTCTGATGAATGGATAAATAAAATGTGGTATATCCATACAGTGGACTGTTACTTGATATGTGCCACAGTGCGGATGAACCGTGGATGCTAAGTGAAAGAAGACAGGCACAAAGACCATGTATTGTATGATTCCATCCACATGAAATGTCCAGAATACACAAATTTATAGAGACAGAAAGTAGATTAAGTGGTTACTTAGGGCCAGAGGGTGAAAGAAGGAAATGGAGGTTGACTGCTAATGGTTACGTGGGTTTTTGGGGGTTGGGGGGAATGGCAAAAATTAAATTGTGGTGATGGTTGCACAACCCTGTGAAAATGCTAAAAATTGTTGTAATTTAAATGGGTTAATTTCATGGTATGTGAATTGTATCTCCATAAAGCTATTTTTTTAAAAAATCATTCAACCTGCTGACATTCTAATTAGCCTATCGCCTTTTTAAACCAAGATTGCAGCGTCCTCCAACTTAAATTCAGCCAACACTTGTTGTTTCTCTCAATGGATGGCTTGATTTTTATAGATACGCCATGATATGGTCCATGCTGAGAATAACAGCCGATCTGTTTGGAGGTAATAGCAGGAGGGCCAGAGGCAACCTGTGTTCAGTCTCTACCAAATATTGAAGGTAAATATTAGTATTTAAGAAAATGAAATGATAAGGGCTGTTACACATGAGCAAAAGAATTACCATGCTGGCTCCAAGCCATAATCGACTGTGACTGTGATGGGACCACCGCGGTTGTTTTCACAGTGTCATGCTTAAATGCGAGGGAATCACTAAATCAACCCCTTACTGGTGCAGGATCAGCATCAAGATCTATTATAAAACATCCCTTCTCTAAAATTTTCCTCAATTTCTACTTCCCAGGGGCCTTAAGCTTCTTCAGCGGAGAGGAGGTGGCTTATTTTCCTGTGTGGAGGAGGTGACAGCCTACACCTGGAAGTAATAACCACAGCAGGCTGACAAGATTTGGGGAAACAGTTAAGCTTAAGTGGGATAAACAATTTTATAGGCCAGTGCAGAGTTTGTATCAGAAGCACCCTTGATACAGCAGTGTAGAAAAAGGCCTCCGTACCAAAGCGCTGTTTTGCCGTCGGCCCTCCTGCTGGCTTCTCATCAGGTCAGAGGAGACCTGTCCTCGTGGTTTTATCTGAGTACACACCTCTCATTTGTAATCCTTGGTTTTGGAAACAACAGACTTGGAAGTGAACAGGAAACTGGAAAAAGACTCTCTGGCCACGGGAGAGCAGAAGACAGTAAACAGCCCCTGGAGATCAGATTTATTTCAGAATAAATGGGGACTGGTGTCATTGTTCTCATGGCTGTGGAAGCAGCTCCTAGTGACCTTTGACTTTGAAGTAAAATGCACCCATCCCCTCCCGTCCTACTCCCCAGTTTGATCCCTCAGGGTGTTTCCTGATTCCTGAGGAGAGTTACAGCACCACAGCGGAGTGTTTACAGTAACATACTTTCATTAGTTGCTGGAACGGCAACAATTTTGTTTCCTTTCTCTCATCTCATCTTTACTTGTGACCTGCTTTTATGTGGTGGTGTATCCTTTCTTTTTCCCACTTGCCTAATTGCTTGCTTATTATGAAAAGCTGCTGAGGATAAGTCCCTAGTTAGTTGTTACATATGTATACGAAAGATATGGGCGTTTGAATTTATGTACTTGTTTTGACAGTAAAGGAGTGACTGTTCTGGGCGTGCCCGTGCCTGGCCGTAGGGGTGGAGTGAGGTTTGGGAGGCTCCATTATCATGGGAGAGGGGCCAGGTTTAATGACTTCACCCATCAGAAAACTCATAACCCTCCATACTTTTATGTATTTGCTTCTTTACCTCATTCCGAAAGAGGATTTGGGGTGGGTTTCTAGCAACAGACATACCAACAATGTAAGCAGAAATAGAAAACGAGGACCAAAGTAAAAAGAAGAGTGTAGTTTGAGCCGTGTGGGTTAATATGGTTGGTAGGATTGCATGTGAAATCTGGCTTCAAGCTCTTTGGCAGGCACAGCCAGATGGGATGTGTGGTTACTCACACATGTGGCTCCACACCCCTTTTACTCTGTACCTTCTCTGAGGACTGTGGCATAACATTGTCCCTCTCTTGGTTCTTTTCGAGGGCAAGAGAAACCACAATTGGGAAAAAGAAAAGGAAGGAAACATATCTAAACTGCTCACTGTTCTGCTTGCCTCTTAACAGCTCCCATATTTCCCAAATAACAGTAATAGCAACTGTAGGGGTGGAGATGGCTTTCTCCTGGGGGCCACGCACCGGCATTGGCTCTGTCATTCCCAGTCATCAGCCTCAAGGGGAGGCTTCGTGGTCACTGTTTTTACAGAAAGGGGCGCTGGGGCTTGGGGGGGTTATACAACCAGATGGCCAGTTGTGGAGCCAGCCTCTGAGCTGTGTCTGTTGGATTCTACGCTGCAAGCTTTTTCCACACTTCCAGACAGCCTCCCTTTTCCTTTTAGTTTTTACTTTGTTCTGGGCTACAAAACTTGTTAGATGAGCCAGCAGGTTTCTTAGTGAGGGTTTGGGTTTTGTGCATAGGCTTGTGATAGTGCTTTCCAGTCCTTGGGAGTCCGTTTTTTATTCCCTTCCTTGCAGCTTTGCGGCAGTATTAAGGTTGGTCTGTGTGTGGTAGTGTCTCTCTTTTCCTTTCATGGTTTAGGATTATCACACCAAATGTCAGTAATTATAAAATGCAGGGCTGAGCTCAGGAGCCATTGCACTCTGTGTGGCTGTGCTAATCCCCATGCTAAATGCCACCGCCAAGAGGCCTTTTGTGTTCTTGTCTGTTTTCATAGTTAGTCAACCCCCCACCCCCAAGGCTTTCAGCTGCCTTCACAAAAGTAGCTCACCTGTCCTCTGCTTATAATTCACTACTTCT